AAGTGTATAATATCTCATGAGGATTACTTTGAAGGGTACAAAATAGATATTCATGAATAAATAAATAATTTTTGAAAAAACACGAAATTCGCGATATTTTTTGAACACTCCTCGTACGTACATACTCTTGTTATGCCATGCAGGAACAGGCGGAGGTTGTATTATGTGTCCGAAGAAGCCACCCGTAAGTGTAACGTCATGTGATGTGCTACTGAATCAGCCTTAGCATTAAATTCCACATATCTCTGCAAATACATATCTATATATATTAAGCCTTTGCCAGCCCACTCCCTGCAATGACTTGCGAAAATTGAGTCTGTGTTAGCACACTACAATATTTCTATTTCTGTTGTAAAAATTAGATCAGACTTTGCTTGGCATACCCACTTCACCCCAGTTAGCAGAGAGTGGCGTTAGCGCATGTATAAATGCAAAGTAAACGCACTTTTATGAAGTAAATAAAAAGAAATCTTTAACAAAATATGTAAATAAATAAACAAATCACAAGAGAACTTACATACATATACATACATATATGAATATACGGGTTTGTCAATATTCGTAAAGCCATTGTAATTTCAGTCCCTTACTGTATCGTAAAACCATTACTAAATACTCGCTAATTATGTATTACTTCTGTATAGATAATTAAAAAAATTTTAAGCAAAGATTATACTAACATACATATATTTTTGTAAAAGCTACTTAATATACGTAAAATTTCTTTTTTAGTATTCTGAAGTTCATGTAAAAGACATTTAATCCAACGTTTTTAATAAGAACTGTTAACAACTCCGAGATAAAGAGACATAGAAGGCTGCGCCGCTGATATACAGAGAAAAACATGGTAGAGCTACGCTTGTTTCGAAAGCTCATTCTGTTTACTGCAAGCATGAGAGGGAAGACATGACTTAAATGTTACAAGTGAAGTTCCCAGGGCACAGTAGTCTCAATAAGTCTACTTCCGAAATACCATTGCATCCAAACAGAGCTCAAAACAACAAGTTTTCGATATCTTCCGTCTCTGTATTTACTTTTTATTACTGCGTGGAGGGTTAATCAGCGGCTCCTGATACTATCTACCTGATTTTCGGTTGCCGGTGCTATATGAATTTTGTAGAGCTAGATCTCATTTCTAATACCTCAATATGTTAATGCATGGTTCTCGTTTCTTTAGTATTCCAACTCCTTTTTTTTTATAAAACTACTCATTTTTTCTTTAAAAAATTACGCAGGACTAGAAGTGACTTCGCTAGTCAATGTACCCTTGAACCATGCAAAAGATTACTTATACGCTATGACAAAGGGACACTAATGGCGACTTTTGCGACATTTGCAAACACTTATCCAAGTTTAACTTCCTTAAGCGCACTAGATTTGACGAACGAGCCCAGCGTTACCCACCTCTCGTCCAACTGACCAAGGGGCGCGTCTGAGGGATAATCGAGAAATCAAACTGACTGGCGCCGGAAACCAGTGGTATCCGAACTGCTTTGAGACGGAGACCGCGATCGCGGAAGCTCGCGGTTACAGCTGTCTCTTACACTGAACAGCTACATATTTCCTCAGCAGCTGCTCTATAAATTACATGGAAATTACTTACGTTTTGATACAGAAAACGAGTCAGAGAAATCAATGCTTGCGGAATGAGTATTGACACCGTTGCACAAACATCTAAGTAGTCGTGAATTACAAAGTTTTTTCAGCGTGAACCCAATGAAAGTAGCCTAAAATGTCTAGATGATCTTAAAGGAATGGTAAAGTTAAGCTCGCTAAGTAGGAATATAATAGAAGGAAGAGCAAAGGGTCTAAGTGACAGCCTTGAGTACGATGCCATCTAATTGAGAAAGAAAAGAAGAAATCTGAAATAATAGAGTTTAGAATGAAGTCATTATGAGAGATATTGTCAAAGGCTTTGCTGAAGTCAAGTCATTGTAGTCACAATAACATCATTCTGATAATCATTTATAATAATAATAAGCCCAACGGTTACCCTCCTCCCGCCCAACCGACACACGATGGTTCCAAAATCCCAAAACCTGACCAAAAGTCGTAAAAAAGTTTAAATTAGGGACTTTTAATACCTGAAATAGTCCGGTTGGTATGTCTACTGTGCGAAACGACACTTTTTGAGGGTCTATTGTGCAGAGCGTCCCGTGCGTCACATCGAGTGTGTATTTCAAACGCAAGGAAACGCAATCTTTAAAATTAGTGACAAGGAATCGTCAGCTACAGGTAAGTTAATTGAAAGTATAGTCAGGAAATAAATTGAGATTGGAAACATATATGTATAACGATTTTAAGAGGTTAGATATTTCAAAAACTAGAAATTATAAAGTGAATAAGTCAAAAGCCCCACGACATCCAACTCCGTAATACTTTTTCTCGTATTCTGGACACATTTCTATTTCCTTTTAAAATAAAAAAAATTGTCCTATAATTGTAAAATTTGTATTACTGAATACTGAATAATAAATTACATTGAAACGCAAATTTTTTTGTACTATCAGGTGTACAACTTTGCTTCCGCCGTTTTCCGATAGGTGCTTGTACCGGAGGCTGGTTGAAATACGTAGATGATAATGCCTTTAAAGTGAGTGTGGACAGTGCCTAACGAATTGTCATCGCCGTTTCAGTGAATGTTGTTCTTGTTTTCGTATTATTCACGCTCGAAAATGTCCGTTTATGTGCCTAATTCTCGCCATTTGCGGGAAGTTTTACTTTTCTGTTACAATTCGAAAAAAAAAAATGCAGCTGAAGCGCATTGAATGCTCTCAGAAACTTACGGTGATGCTGCTCTGAGTGAAAGAACGTGTCGGGAGTGGTTTCAACGTTTTAAATATGGTGATTTCGATGTCGAAGACAAACATGGTGGTGGAAGAGAAAAAACCTTCAAAGGTGAGCAGCTAGAAGCACTAGAGCTCTTAAAACCTGGTGAAACCATCACAGGAGATCGCTACCGAACCCAACTGATTCGCCTTAGTCGCGCGCTAAATGTAAAGCGGCCACAATATCAAGAGCGACATGACAAAGTCATCCTCCAGCACGACAATGCTCGGCCTCACGTCGCAAAAGTGGTCAAAAAGTAGCTGAAAACGCTGAAATGGGAAGTCCTGCTCCACCCGCCGTATTCCCCTGATGTCGCCCCTTCTGACTTCCACCTATTCCGTTCGATGGTACACGGCCTGGCAGATCAACATTTTCAATCCTTCGAAGAATTGGAAAAATGGATTGCTTAATGGATAGCGCCAAAAGAGGACTCCTATTTTCGAGCCGGGAACCGAAAATTGCCGGAAAGATGGGAGAAAGTTGTCGCTAGGGAAGGACAATACTTTGAATAACATATCTGTAAGCACTTTTTCGCAATAAAGCTTTTAATTTTGGAAAAAAACGGCGGAAGCAAAGTTGTACACCGATACATCCACAGTAATTTGAATTCATAACTTTTTTTTCAAAAAATAAGATAAGATTCATAATCAGCGACCTCGTACACCCGAATAATGATTTTTTCAATCTTTTAAAATTTTTTTCGAATTTTGGCCACGTTCTTTACTATTGGGACCACTGGAACTGATATTTAACGGCAACAGAAAGTGGTAAACTACGGCGAGAAAACGATTTTCCTGCAAGCCAAAATATTTTACTAAATTTTAAAAGGTGGCGGTGACCATTAAATAATTTGGATTTATAAACAATTTTTTTTAATAAATAAAATTTGTTTAAAAAAAAACTCGTGTTTTCGAGGAGCATGGCCGTAAGTGAGGTTAGTAGTATAGTATTTTTCGTTACGAAGTCAGTTTGTTAAATCAAATATGATGGAATAACAATTGAAATCTTGACATTTGCGGCGAAAAGTTTCATAAAGCTTAAAATTTGTTATACTTGATTTTAAAAATAATGGTCTTACGCTGCCGAGATAATCGAATGGGGACATTAAAATTTACTTCACCTAAAAGAAGTTTTAAAAAGTGTATTTGGGCTTATAAGTTTTAAGCGACTAATATACGGTGGATTTTGGCGAGAATTCCAATGGAAATGCTGCAAAGCAAACAACAAAAATGTTTTTGAACGGACTCAATTTGATTGGAATGGACATTGTAATTAGGATTCCTGTAAAAAGTATTTTGATAATATAAGGGTCCTTAAATTCTTTTGGCGGCGGCATTTGGAAGGTCTGGGCTAAAAACCTCGTACGACCAAAAAAAAGTAATTTAAATAAAACCACCAACCTCTGAAAATTTCATTAAGATTGGTCAGCCGTTCTCGAACCTTAGCGTCACTAAGAAACAAACATTAATTTTTATATATAGCATTAAGATATGTGTATTATCTCAGTAGTACGTTCAATTATTGCCTTTATGGTAATTGCATTTTGTCAATAAACAATTAAGAAAACGAAAATATAAATACATACATATGGGATCAAAGCTACATAGGTAATGAAAGAAGTTATATATCTTGTATGTGGTCCACAAGAGGAGTCCGATTTTGAAATTTTGCGAGGTCAATTTAATATCAAATTCTCCGGTTTCAGAATATTTATACGTAATACCCATATTTGAGTTTAACAAAATATATTATTTTTGTTCACCTTCATATAATCGATCGGGTAGAGAAAATAAACGAACATTGCCGATTTCAAGCGAATTTTTGTACCATTATTTAATTTGAACTTGGAGCAAATGCACCTGTAGTCAAGGGCTTATGCATATGTATTTAAATATGTAAGTGTATGTAGAGAAATCCCTACTGCTCGTAAAAAACGGTCGGCTGAATTCCACCACATTTTAATTCCTTACCTTGAAATACTGTTACACGCATGCGTAATCATACACAGAAAATACAATATGAACGCTAACACGATGACGGCCTCATAAATCACAAAAATGTTTAATTGTGACATCGATAAATAAATTGTTGTTATTGTTGTGGTAAAGTTGTACTTGATCAATTAATTCCTCTACATAAATGTGCGTATTTACAAACAGAAAAAACGAAAATTTATTTAATTAATTAATTTTAATTTATTTCATTATATTTTGTTGTCCTAAAAAATTCGCTTTAAAACCAATAATTTGCACAGAAGTAAATAATCAATTTCGCTTGACAATGTTTACAATCCGATTTATAAGATTTTAGTTTACGCTCCACCATTAGTTTTAAATTTGACAGTAACACAGTTTTACTGTTTACTGTTATGTGTGCCTGCGTTATGTAAAATGCTAATAGTTTTGTTTCGGGAATGGTTGATTAAACTTGTTTTTTCAATTTTAAATACATTTTTCGTCTTATTAATTTTCGCATTATTCATTAACAGTTTTCGAAGGATTTTCTTAACGCTACACTTTTGCGCTCTATATTAATCTAGCCGGTTACAGAAACGTGATTGTGTTTACGTACATAATCACACTAATTTATTTCTTAGTCAATACTCCGTGAAGAACGAAGAAAACGCTACATAACTATGCATGTAGTTGCTACAATTTGCATTCTGATTTTGTTTACACGTGTATTAATGTATGTATATACGTGTGTGTATTAATGATTTAGTCTCTCCGAGTTTAACATGATGGCATTACTTTAAGGCGTTCAAAAGCTGACTTTTCGAGTCTTTCACGATGATCTGGATGACTGATTTGAATGAGTTCATAGGCACGTTGACGCATATTTTTGCCAAAGAGTGAAGCGATACCATACTCAGTGACGACATAGTGAACGTGAGCACGAGAAGTAACCACACCAGCGCCTGAAAATAATAGTTGCAAAAGATATCAATTTAAAGTTCATTGTTAATAAAATCATCCTTTGCAATGCTTACCTGGCTGTAATATGGGTACAATTTTGCTTTGGCCTTTATTCGTTACCGATGGCAATGCAATGATTGGCACACCCTTGCCATCAAGACCTTCGGCAGCACCGCGAATAAAGTCAACTTGACCACCGAAACCTGAGAAGAAACGTGTACCGATCGAATCGGAGCACACTTGTCCAGTAAGATCAACTTCTATAGCTGAATTGATGGCAGTCATGCAAGGTTGCTGCTTAATAATACTAGTATTGTTTACATAATCGATAGCGTACATTTCTGAAATAATTCAATTTGTTATTGCATTTTAAAAATCTGCCTACTATTATGTGCATTCATTTTCATACTTACCAATGAAAGGATTATCATTGACAAAATCGTATAAAGCTTGATTACCAATCAAAAACGAACCGACAATTCGACCTTGATGCATCTTCTTTTTGCTGTTGTTAACGCAACCTTTTCGCACCAACTCCACAACGCCGTTAGCAAACATTTCCGAGTGAATACCAAGATCCTTGTGGTTGTGGCAAGCATTCAAAACGGCATCTGGTATATTACCGATACCCATCTGTAGGGTGGCACCGTTGCAAATTAGGTTATCCGCAATCAACTTTCCAATTTTGTTTTCAACTTCGCTTGGTGGCTTGCCACCATGCTGAGGCAGGGGTGTGTCCACCTCAACGGCAAAATCGAAATGTGATGAGTGAATGCAGGCATCACCGAATGTACGTGGCATTTGTTTGTTAATTTGGCCTGTGATAAATAAAAAAGCAAAAATTGTGATTAATTTATAATAAAAGAAATAAAGAAATATATATTTGTTCCCAGCATATTTACCAATAATCATTTTCGAGTGATTGGCCGCGGCACGAACACAGTCAACGCTGGTACCTAACGAACAGAAGCCGTGACGATCTGGCGGTGAGACGTGAACGATCGCAACATCGGGCTTCACGATGCCTTTGTAGAAGAGTTGTGGAATTTCGTGTAAGAAAATCGACATATTATCACCACGTCCCTCAGCTACGGCTTTACGTACGTTGGCGCCCATAAAGAAAGAGTTCGATCGGAAGATATCCTTGTTTTCGGGGGCGCAGTAATCAGCTGGACCTTCTGTGTGCATGTGACAGACAGTAACATCCTGAAGTTTTTTGTCTTGGCCATATTTTGTCAACGCTTTGAGCAGATCTATTGGGGTAGCAGCGGCACCGGACGCAAAAACCGTATCACCTGAAAAGAAAAGAAAATTAATAACTTGTAGTATTTTTCGTCCGACTTGTTCGACGCGTTTAATTTCGAAAATGTATTAAAAGAAATGTAAAGAATGCATTGAAATCCGAATATATCCGTGTCGTTCCGATATAAACACCCGACTGTCGCGGGAACTATTGGATTTTAGTCGCCTCTTACGACAGGCATGGTAAATAATTGAACCCTTAATCCGCAGAGAGGCATGCCTGTTGTAAGAGGCGCCTAAAATGCAATATTTCCCGCGATAGTCGGGATTTTTGTGCCGGAACGACCTGCATTTTGCGCAGGCTAAGGACTGTCGCTACCCGAAAACCAATTTGGAGAATATTTTTGCGGTTGCTACAACAACAACATGGGTAAAACGTTGAAATATGAAGTAGTCAGAGTCAAAAAGCAAACTAATTGCTTTTTAGTTAACGACTACTAGTTTTTTCTGTCGCATATTCGCATCCGATACTGTTTATTTACAATCTCTCTAACTACATTGTGCAAGTTCATACATATACTCATATGTGTATATGTTTTGCATATTCTCTTACACACCCACAAATAACAATTATTTTATAGGCATCATCAAGATAATACCGTTTATTTATAGTAATTGAAGCAGTTGTTAAACACCATAAACATCGTAAAGTGAATAAATATAAGGGATGCGGCGTGATATATACATTAAATCAAAGATAAATGCTTAATTCGGTCAATAGCTTGCTAATGCGCTCATATCGCTAACACATATCGTACACATACTTATGAATGTAATTTTTTTTAGGTAGGTACCCAGGGCAATTATCAGCTTATCATTACAATAATAATGCATATGCCATGTACTTGTACATATATATGATATGTTAATTGTGTTAAGCAGTTCAATTTGCACTTTTTCAAGATAAATATATACAAAGGAGTGTATTGCAAATATATAGACATATAGGACGTACATAGTGAGTATTTGTAAATTTATTACATTTAGTATAATTTATGTTTGTATGTAAAAAAGACTACTAAGTAATTGGATGGATATATATATATATATATATATATATAGATTAACTCTTATTAACTCGGAGGGCTTAAAATGTATCCGGCCGAGTGGCGATTAAATTTAAAAAATTTACTTAAATTTTTATTTAAATTAATTTTCCCTTCATTGTTTATATACTTACTGGCGATAAAATCAAGGAGGATAGAGAGTGAGGTTTTCAATAAGAAATTATATTTTAATATTCAAAAAACCTTTCCCTTAAAATGCCGTTAGTTTCATTGCTTGTGTGGCAATTAGTGCTCCAGATCAATACCATCAGATTAAAAAAAAAAAAAATTAATCACCTCTCGGTTGCGCACAAATCCATTCATTTTCGAAAAAGTAAGTACCAGAGACCAAGCCAGACCATAAAGGATGGAGACGTCTTTCAACAATAAATCTTGGACTTTCCAAGCCCCAGATTCGATAGTTTTGCTTATTGTTGTGGCTATCAAGATGGAAATGTGCCCATCAGTCAAGACGATTTTTCGATGAAATTTTTATATTGTTTTTTTTTTTTTTTTTTTTTTTTTTTTTTTTTTTTTTTTTTATATGGTGACATTTACCGGAATACCAGGCTATTCAAACTGATATTTATTAGAAACCCCTAAGTTAAATTTGTAAGGCAAAGTTCATATATTAATAATAAAAACATATCATATCCTCCGCTGTGGTTATATAACATAACAAATTAAAATTTTTGATATTAGCCGCGTAGGTTATCACAAAAATTTTAAATAACTATTATAAATTATCCAAAATTGTTGTCAAAATTAGCCAGCAACCAAAATTTGAGAGAGTAAAATGCCAGTTAGTTGCAAGAGAGACTCAAAATTTGTGATGGAAAAACTTTAACTTGTAAGAATTATCCATTACGAAAACAAATGATATAAAAACATATTGATGACATTTAGTAATACAGGAGCGGCTGAATCTCTTACTTCAGCCACGGTAATGGATAATGTTGTACGTGCAGTGGACGAATTTGCTCCCATGAAAGGTGGACTGGACTGGAAGGAGCAAGCGTAATTGCTTCCAATCAAATCCATATCCTTTTCTGCAACTCGTGGACTTGCTTGGGAAAATATTATTTCGTCGAAGGTCGCCTGACATATTTTTTTAATAAAAACAGTAAAATGATTTCGATAATTTCAGTGCTTACCAATTTCTACTTTCCGAAATGTTGTCGGTGATCGTTTCACATCCAGTTTTCTATTTTTAGTAATTTTTAATTCTTTTATTTATTTTTAAAAAAAAGCAACAGCTGACGTTTTGGCTGTCTGAATAGTGATAGATAATTTTACGTTCGTTTACTTTTTTGGACATTTTTCTTATGCAGAGAGTATTCTTGCTTACGCTCTTTTAATTCATTGATGGCTAATTTTTTTAAATTTTTTTTTATATTTTTTTTATAAAAATCTTCTTGCATTCCAAATTCTTATCAGTAACAACACGTTAAGCTGATAAGCAGTGCGGAGTTGGGACAAATTCATATTCCAGTAAAAAGGTGTCAAGGGTTAAGTGAAAATTATTGAGATTAACCATCCATTTAAATACTAACGAATTGGAAAACCACGTGATTATTATTATAGCAGATGTTCCTAATCTAAACTAAAATTATTTGCTAGAATGTATAGTTTTATTATTATACAAAATGGTTTACGAATTTCGGCTTTTTTCGAATTATTTTTGCATTACAATTTTATTAGAAATAATTTGAAAGCCAATAAATTTAAATGGAAAACTAGTTGGCTAGTTTTTGCCACAAATTGCTTGCTTGCCGAAGATTATCATGACTTAAAAATTATATATCTTTTTAAAAAGTGAAAAATAATAAATAATTGTAGACAAGCAACGCTCAATATATAATAGGTAAATGAAAAATGTGTTGAAAAACTAGGTTTTTTTTTTAAATATTTAGAAGCTTCCATTCTTTTAGAACATTATAATTAAGTAGCTGTCAGAGAATGTGCTTCATGTACTTTAAACGGACGCACAATGTTATTGTGCGACTACATACACACGTCGGCGACAATTTTGCATTGTATCTCTTAAATTGCTTTCATATACATATTTGTATCTGCAATATGCAACTTTGAATATTAATTAATAAACACGGTTGGTTTCATCGAAAAACTAGTTTATTTAACAAATGTTTTTGTACATAATCATAAGTATATTAGCACTTAAAAACAAATAGAAACGAAATAATTTGTATAATGAATTATTTACTACAAGTTTCAAACATCAATAATCCTACAAGCCGTAATTTGCTTAAAATAATATTATTTTAGTTGTGGTTTTGGAAAAAAGCAATATTTATATACGAAGCCTTGACTGAGGTCAGAGCTTTTTTTTCTTTAAATCTGGTTGAACAGTCATTATAATACAAATAAAAGTGAGAATTTTATTTGCAATACTGTACACCATACCACATACACATACATACATTCATACATATTCATTTATTTCTATAAATTCTCCGACTTATGTGCACAGCTGATAATTAACTTGCATTAAATTGAATTAAAAATGGAAGAGTAAATATAATATTTTGATGAGTTATTGTGACGCCACTTGCATGCGGCTCAAACAAGCCGGTATATGTAGATTATATGGATGCGTAGAAGAGTATTCTTAAAATTCTTATTTTACATTATTTAGTATATAAAATATATATTTACAGTATTTGGATGTTAAATAAATATATTTGAAGACAAGAATTTCTAATTGTACAAAGTCCATTTTCTGTGGCGAATAGCATTAGGTATTGTAGAAGTCTCTATATTTTATAAGAAAGACGTAACTAAACAATTTAAAACTTTATAAATGTTTTAGATGTTTTCAAAGCCAAAAATTATACAATGTTCCAAATAAAAAAATAAAGCCTATTGAATATATATTTTTTTTAATTTAACTAATTGCATTCAATGGGGCTCAATGTATAAATAATAATATCATTTGATATTTTCTGGCATAAAACATTGTTTTCAATTTGTTGTTCTTTTTTCACAAAAAAAGAAATGTTTAAAGCTACATTTTTATTCCTATCAATCTTTAAAGCCTGAAAGAAGAAAGACTCGTTTGTGTATCACCTAGCGATCATGAGGAGCCAGTTATTTCTCTTATTTTATTGATATAATGCAAAAGCAATATATCAATACATAGAACAGTAATCAAAATCTATTTTCAATAATAAGTACTATATCATTTATTTATTTTATGTCACGCAGCCGCTAACAAGCACACTAGAGGTATTTAGTGTTTAACTAGTGAAACGCATGCATGTAAAGGAAAATTATATACATATATATATATATATATATTATATACAATTAGATATAGAAATAAAACTAGTGTTCAAACAGACACATGAATGGTGTCAAAATTTTGAATGAATTTTAATTTTAGTTGTGCTTTTAAAATAATATTAAAAAAAAACAATTAAATTTTTCTTTTAAAATATTAATATGCGAATAAAATGAACACGCACACCATAAAGATAAGTCTGCGCGTGGGAATCCTTATTGTTTGACATTGAAGAGCATTTGTTTGGCATCAGAAACAAAACTCGTCATATCAACACTTTTGTCTCTCTCAGTAAATAAATGTTCATAAAAAATCATGTGCAAAAACCAACAAATAAAAATGCGCGCGTGCTAATAATTATGTACAAATGTATGAACATATATACATAAGTATATATTATATTAAAAAAAAAAACAATGAAGAAACAAAAAGTAAAACCGGCAAGCTCTAATTTTGAAGAATGATTTGTGGATTTTGGAATGGAGTAAAATATAAATTGCCTTCATTTTTTGGTTTTTAATTAGCTACAAATAATCTTCGCTTATAAAATGTGTACATATAATAGTATATGAATGTACGGAATTTAAGTATTACTTTAATTTTAACCACTTGGGTTTTACTACATTTTATAGAAAAAAAGCTGATTTAAATATTATACGAAATTAAAAAAAAAAAATTCTAAAAATATTTTTCGAGTTTCGAAATATATGTATATTTCAAGAACTTCTACATATTTTTACGTGGCTGAGGTTTTCATTTAATTTGCATTAAATACGTTTTTAGGAGAGAATCAAATAGTCAAATATGCATATGTGCCACAAATATCTTTTCAACCATTATCCAACTAGTAAGCCTACTCAGTCGTTGACTTAAGGGTCCGGGTAATTTAAGGCTCACAAAGGCCTATGTATAAATGTGAGTGCGCATAATATTATATGTATTGGAATAAATTTACATTTTTATTTATGTGTTGCGATTATCCAATTTCCTTAATTGCATTCAGTGCATTTTTATTTCCCGCACATTTGACCATACAAAATCATACATATGTATTCGACTGATCGTGCATACTTAATTTTAATCATCTAAATACAAACATACCGCTGCTATACATTTAAATTTGCGGATTTTTGTGTAAGTACATATGTTTGTTAAAAATTAAAAGTTAAAACGAAATGCAATATTGAAAATAGGGTCAGAATTTTTAATCTTATCACAATTCTACTGTATACTTTTATATGGCGTGTGCCCATGCTTTTACACATATATTCTTAATAAAGACATATTAAAGTTAAAGTGCTAAGTGTGTGTATGAAAAAAATAGTTCATATCACCATAATTCGATTTGATGTGACTAAGGCTGTATTTGGAAAACATCTGTACGTATGCATGCTAAGACAGCTAGGCTGCATTAGTACTAGTAATACAAGTGAGAAAATTTCTGCTTTTAGTATTTTTAGTATGGTGTCGAAAAAGCAAGATAAATATTATATTATAATCAATTAGTTTTGAATGAATTAATATTTCTATATGTTATCAAAATATTCATTAAATTTCTAGAACGTTAATTCCACATTAGCATTCTCTATGAATAGAAATGCATTATTTTAATCAGGAAATGTCATTAACATTTTCGCTACTTTATGAAAAACAAAAATAGTATTTAAATTATAAACACAGTGTACGCATATATACATATACACATACATTTCAATGCACATTCATGTGTATGTATGCTAATATGATTCTTTGTTTCTAAGCGACACGCTCATCATCATGCGAGGGGAAAGCTAACAGATAAGTCCAAAGACCGCTAGGGCTGACTTGCTCACTGATTTAAATGCCATTGTTATTTACCAATTATTCTTCCTTAACTTTGATAACTAGACATATTCGGTATGTCGAATTGAATCTGGATTTTAAGTCAAAAAGGCCAAATTATTAATGGCGTTTGTGGCTTTTCAGAAAGTGAACCATTCGACATATGCACATATATACAAATAGTTTGAATGAGTATCTGTGATTTTTTCGAATTAAATCTTTTAAAATCCCTTTCTTTTAATGAAACAATTATTGAGGTAGCATGATTTCAGCGTACCAATTAAAAGTTCATTCATTAATATAAGATTTTTGCCCCTCTCTATATTTTATATACACATTTAAAATGACATACGCACTATGTATGTGTTTTGATTAAAAGTTTCTCGTGCGAATGCATTCGGTTACATAACTTCCAGAATTTAAATAAAATTCAAGTTGCTCCAGTCGTTTGCCTACCGCCTTACCACCCCCTCAAGCTTTCTACACTGATTAAGTTACATTAAAGATCATCATCAGAACTTACCTGATTTTATACATGCTACCGCTTCCTCCGCTGATACAATATTTGGTTTCCTTTGCAGTGGATGTGTGATTTCCTTGGTGGTTGTAAAGTAATTATTAGTCATTACAGATGCAATTTTGCATGGCCCCTTTAGAAGGTTCAATTGTTTTCCAAGCATCATAGCCATTCTGCGTTACGATTTTTCTTACCTAAAATATATAATTTCTTAACCAATTAGAACTTTATGCAGGTAAATTAAAAGCCATTATGTTTGTTTTAAACTGCTTAACATTTATTAAATGTTTTTGTCTTTTTAATTTTGCAATTTATATTCGAACGTAGGTATTGAATTTTAATAATTTTAATAAATTCATTGACAACGTAACAAACAGCTTACCGAAACAATAACTTTTCTATTCAGCCTTCCGATTAGACTGGATTTTTATGAGAATGTGAGAACTCCCAGCACTGTTGGAGAGTGGAGACTTGTTGCTATTGTAAATAGTTCTTATCACAGGAATGCCAGCCAAGTAAAATTATTTTTTATACCAGCGAATGCTTGCGTCTGTAGGCAATCATTTGAAATGCCGGGGAAATAACATAACATTTCTTTGATTTATTTTTTGCAGATGTTGTAAAGTTTTACGCTATTTAACAAAATAAGCACATGTTTTAGAGGTTTTTTTCAGTACATTAACTGCAGAAGCAGAAAAAAGCTAAAGTCGTCCTTCAATTCGTATACCTATAAAAGCACAGTTTACTCCTACCTACTTTACACTACTAGTTTGAAGATGTTAGCAGTGAGCGGGCCACTCTTATATACCCACCGATTTCTTGCATGCATCTCTAAAAACGAATAACGAACATGCTGTTCTGATAGACTCTTTTAACTTTACTAGGAGGAATAGGCAAAGTATAATAAAAAAACTTTTATTCAGAGCCTAGGTGGTTTCACACAATGTGGCGATGCAAAGTACACATATGAGAAAATGAGTTAACTTTCTTAATTCCAAGCGCATTAAAACTAAAATTTATTATATTTATATTTATTAAATGTGACTACCCATTATAAAAGTTCGTTAATGTAATAGTAATTTTGTGGCAACTATCTTTAAAAAACTGACGTGACAACAAGCGTTGCCGTATGACAATAAAATGAATGACAAAACTTTGAAGCCGCATTTAAAGCCTTATTCACATCAAAGTTTGGTTTGGTTTTAACTTTTAACCTTTAAGGTTGATTCACATAAAAACATCTTCGCGTTGCTCAACAGATAAGCCATAAAATTGGCTTTTTCTAAAAAATCCCGTCAACCCATATATACATATACATACAACAATAATCAAAACGAAATTCAGACGTATATTGAGACGAAACTTTCATATGAATCAGTGACTATTCTATTATAACGATTTTCGTTAAATATGCCTTGATGTCTTCACAAATCCATCGAGTTCTTTGGAAGTGAAAAAAGTAATAAAATTAATTCTGAGCAGCTGAGAATTACTGTGAAGTTTTTGGTAGGTGGGAGTGCGGGTCGAGAGACTTTAACGTTAATATATTAAGATTATATTCCTGGTAACAAATTTCAAAATTAAGCTCAAACCATTTAGTGTTTGGAATGACACCATTCGTTATCAGAAAAGCCATTCAAGGTTTGGTACCTGCCATATTCCAAAATCTCAATGTCGAGTTAGTGAGAGAGATGCCGACCTACAGAGAAAATGGAAAGCGTTTTGCTAATTCCCAGCAATATAGGGCTGGCCCACTTTTAATGTATGTACTCCGAAGCGTCAGTAAAGCGTTATTCTGGCTGTAAGTCTATGTACACTTTCACTGGACCTGAATGAAGTAAATTAAATAAAATTTGTATGCATTTTTTAAGCAACTTTCTCCGCTTTGCTTGACAGAAGAAACAATGACTACAAAGCGAAAAAATCCTAGGGTTTGCAGCTATGAAAGCCTCAACATATGTCAAAACCTCTGGATGCTTTAAATTTTTATTGTTTAATATTGAAAAACATAACAACATTTATTCTTACTCATAGGAAAGAAATTTTAGAGTTATTTTTACTATTTTGTGAAGTTTAATAGCCATTTATTGCCTTAGATAATGCAGAATAGATAAACAAGTGTTATGTTGGTCTTCGCTTCGCTTTATCGATGGTCCCAATATTTTCTATATGTACTTACTCACACACTTATAAGTTAAAAAATAATTTAGCCTTCAGCCACAGCAATAAAACAAGGGAAAGTCCTTCTAACAAGTTAATTTTATTTAACAAAAAACTATCATGTTCTTTACACTAATTCTAAGTAATACATACATTAAAGCCCATACCGAACAAGATTGATCGTTCGCTGTGATCGTTGTCCGATATAATACCGTTGTTTTGTATATCCTGTTTACAGCCCGTAGTCTGAGACTGTCATTGGCCTTGGTTTCCCACGAATTAGTCGTGGAATGCAGTTGGAAAAGTATTCCGTTACATTTTGATGAGAACTTAAAAAGTGCTGACACTGCGGCACGTATAATGGGTGACCGTTGGAGCCACGCAGTGAATGCGATTACGTATAATAACTCAACTCCACCTCAAAGCGGGATGCAATTTCTATGTGAATCAGCTTTGTAAAAGTAGTTGGCGAAGCTAAAACTAAAATTCACTTCATATAGACCAACGCAAATTTCCACACGGTAGTTGCAAGAATACAAAAACAAAAATCCCTTGAACGTGAATTTTGTCAAAAACGAAAATCGTTCAATGTATGTTGTTTGTGTTAACGAACGTTCGGAGTGTCAAAACCTATTTCTCATATATTTTGTTTGTGTGATTTGTTGAAATGGAAGGAAGAACAAGCAATCATATGATGTGACAACTTTACTTTCTATAAAATCGCCTTAATATAGGCATATTAAAATTTTGTGTTTATTGTTTTGCAAAGAAATTAAACAAGAAAAAAATATCGGTTAATTTTAGGTTTCACTGTGGTATTACTCTGCATTGCTCAGTAGTTAGAGTTTCATCAGTCAAGCACGTCGGAGCAGGTTTTATCTGAATATTGCTGCAACTACCCAACTCACGTACCTTCCATCCATAGCAACCTATCTTATGAGAGCGCCATGTGAACACAAAGTTGTCACCGCTCGCCCATGCCGTTAGTGACGGTTGTCCCGCAGAAACGGCGATTTGATTTTTGATATTTCATTTGCGTTTATATTCGAACACATAAATTATGAAATTTGTTCATGAAAATTATATATTCGTTCAGAAGTGTGCAAACACACTGACAGCTGTCAACATTTCGCCGCTTTCAGCTGCGTCAACAATTGTGTATGTATCTCGCTCTTGACGTCGCCTGTTATGGACGGATGGTAAGTAAAATGGGTAGTTGCAACATATGCCTTACCTAACGCCTCCGATATATTGACAACCACGAAAAAGGAAAAAAAAAAATTAGACAAAAATCAAATGGTTTAATAATTAATTTTTATTTGTTATCGTTCTATTAGAAATCCGTATTTATTTGTACGTTTTAACGTTTTATTGAACAAATTTTCATAACAATTATGGTAAAATGATAACAAATGTAAATGTTTTTTGTTTTGCTTATATTAAATATTATTTTGATGTATAGTAAAAAATATTGCGTTAGTTAATTATATTTATATAGTAATCTATAACAACTAAGTTCGCTGATCGTCGAATCATAAATATTTAATAACTATTTATCCGATATACAATGTTAAATACTAATAAATTAAAGTCTACAAGTTTTTCTATTGATTTATACGTTTTCTCTCAACACTTCCAGAGTATAAATGTAATTCTTGAAGGAGAGCAAGGGTTGCTTTTTGACTAGTTGAGATTCAAATTTTCTAAATCGAAAAAAAAAAAAACAGATTTGATAATTTGCTTTGGTAGTTGAACATGAAGAAGAATTAATGTAAATATTTTGAAACATTCAATGTTTTAATTTGGGGAACAAAAAGTAATGGTAGACAATGAAGAGCTACATCGCTTTCAAAATTGCCTAGTGAATAGCGCAATTTTCGTCATCGTACCATTTTCAGATCTTATGTGTTTTTGTTAATTTTCAAAATTCAAACCGAAATTGTTTTTATCTGGACGGAAACTTAATTAATAATGTGTTTCTTCTTTTTATTAATTATCAATCATGACAATCTATGTATATATGTATGTATGTATGCATTTTGTATGCCTATTCAAATCCTTATGATTTTCTAATTTCTATAGCTAATTTATGACAATAAGATTTTATGTATGAATTTTTGGTTTACTCATATATATTATTGTAGTTTTCTCTTTACCATTATCTTCGTTAGACTTATCCGTACTTATTGATTTCTATGTATTTAGTATGTAGTATGTATGTATGTATATGACTAGAAATTTTTCAGTGCTACCATTTTATTTTATTTGTTTTTTATTATTTAATATTATTTTTATGGTTAGTTAAATAAAAATATTCTTTATTGGCTACCACATTACCGGCATACGTACATACGTGTACATACAAATGCATGTGAAATATGGCTAATTCTAGAGTTTATGACTTATTTGCAATATATAAATTTTATATACATTTGTATATGAACGTATGCATGTTAAGTTTTGTGTTTACATTATTTAAAATTTGTGAAATATTTTTTGTTTTAGTAATAACATCTGTTTATGTATCCGTTTGTTTAGATTCTTGCAGTATTCTTTATAATTTTTAGATGTACATGAAATTTAAAATTTTTTTTAAATTTACTGATATAAATATTTTTATATTTTTCATTAGTTTGAAAAAGCAAAACAGTCTTTATAAAAATATGTGCTTATTATAAACGAAATTAAATTATAAAAAAATCTGTATGTACGTATATTAAAACAAAAGAAATCACCGCTAAGTGCTAAGCAACATAGTTTACTTTCGTTATTGCACCAATGTCTAGGATATTCAATATCTTATACTACATTACTTTATACGAGCATAATATACCGTTATATTATTTTTTACTACGAAAAAACTGAAAAATTGACTTCTATGTACCTACATACTTACGGGTATATATATAATATAAATGAAGATTTTACACCATATCATCGTGGTCGGAGTTGTAAGGGGAGGGCGGCCATAGGTACTTCCAGTCGAAGTAGAGGCTTGCAACTTTGCTTAAAATTTTACTTTTATAATAACAAAATGTTATTTCAAAATCAGCCATATAGCTGCCATAGAACGATTGTTAGAAATTAGGTGTTTGTATGGAAATTTGTTTATTTTTCATTATATTGCGGCTGCTTATGTGGGGAGACAAAATGGTGAATTTTCGAAGAATAAAAATTAAAAAAAAGTGCCGTTAATAAAATATTGACGCCTATTTGGAACCAAGAACTGGAAATAATATGAAAAGTCAAATAAAAACATAAAAACGACGACACAGTAAAGAACCAAAAACAGCGTTGTTAGTAGAAATTTGACATTAAAAAACATTAAAAAACAGGCATTCGTTTTTTTTTTAATATTATATTCAAGACTCTAACTAAAAGCAAATTTCAAGAACTCTTTTATTATCTTTTATAACTTCACTGATAAAGGTTTCATTACAGAAATCAGGAGGGAACAGAAATAAAGCGTTAATTTAACATAGAATAACATAGAAAAAACGTTAAAAAATGCACAAAAAGTTTAAATCCACTAATCAAAATGCTATAAAATGAAGAATATGGTTTTGAACAAATTCCTCCGAAATGGCTGGACCACTTTTATCGATTCATTTTTGTTGTTGTTTTCATTAAGACAGTAAACGAATAAACTTCGCATTTTGTTATTTCATTGATGAAATCATTAAAAATTCGATTTTTGTGTTAAAAAGTAGTTTTAATTGTTTTTTATTTAATATGGCGTGCCGTTTTTGAAAATTTACGATATTCATAAGGCCATAGAAAATCGAATAAGGAGTTTAATTAGTTTCAAAATTGTTCCAGCGCCCTAATGTGCTTAAAAATTCAAAGCGAAAATTATGCACGTAACTTCTCTTCTTTGAAGAATGTTGTGAGCCGATAAAGCTTTAAATTTTGTTTCCCTTGAAGCTACTCTTGAGATCTAGAACATATCCAGAATTCGGAGAAGCATTGCTCCAAAGCTCCTGAGAAAAAAATTCTCGCTTGATGTTGATATATTCGAAAACGATATTAACGTACATAATTTGCTGGCACCAATATGCCCTTTTAACTCACAATGACTATTGTCTTATGGACTTAAAGATAAAAAATAAATGCTAGCTCATATAGGATTTTACTTTGATTAGCACGATCGACCGATTTATTTGAGAAAATTCCATTATGAATATTTTTGAACATTTTCCTATTCCTCTCAACAAATACAATTAATACTTTTTCATAATTTTAATATACAAAATTAACTCTGTCTAATGAAAATTTATTGACTTCTAAATGAGACTTCTTTTCGATCAGCAGTTCAAAGATCCTCATTTGGCTTTGTTTCCAGTTCTGAAAACAGAATCGAGAAACGGCATTTATCTCCAAATTGTGAGAGTTTCGTATCAGGAAGACGTCAAAAAAATGTTACCCCGCTTCACCAGCTACATATTGAGAAATGGCGACTATGTCGAAAACCAACTAACATTATATACTAAAGTATCGCGTAATTTTTTTTTTTAATTTACTGCAAGTACTTTCTGGATATTCTTCGTAGAACTTTTAACTGCGGAGGAGAATTTTTTGGGCATAGCTTTGGACTTGGTGGTAAAAGTGACATTTTTTTAATTGTATAACAAAACTAAAGCAAAAAAGTGTTTTTTTAATATAAACATGTTTTTGGAAAAAAACTGCCACAATTTTCATTAAATTCAAAATTAAATTTAAAACTTTTTTATTATATTAGGTCAAGTAAGAAGTTCGTTCGGTTTTTTTTTTATTAATTTTTCAAAATATCGGTTGTTTCATTCGTAAACTTTTTGCCAACGGAATGCCAACTTCATTATACCCCCCTCGTAGAAGGCTGCGTCTCTGTTGGCCAAAAACTCGGATAGCCAATTTTCACAGGCCGCTTTTGAGGCCAACTTCTCACCATTAAGCGCGTTCGCCATGGACAGGAAAAGACGGTAATCATTTGGTGCCAGGTCCGGACTATAATGTGAGTGCATTAGGACCTCAAATCCGAGCTCCTGGAGCTTCTGTCGCGTCACCAAAGACGTGTCTGGAATGGCGTTGTCCTGATGGAACACAATTCGGCCTCTGTTGATCAAAGATGACCTCTTCTTAATGAGTGCTGCCGAAGTGAGCGTTTGGCCATGGGGAAGCAGCTGGTAATAGATGATTCCTTGTCAATCCCACCAAACACAACAAAACCTGGTGCATCTTTGACATCGAAATTACCGGAACGGAACCTAGCAAACCACTTTTGTGCTGACCGCTCGTTTACAGTATCGGGCCCATAAACTAAATTAATTTTTTTCAGCCGCTTTGGCTGCTTTTTCGCCTTGATCGAAGTGATCGAAGAAAAATTTTAAAATTTAGCGAAATTTCTCAATAACAATACGCCATCTCTTAGATAAAAACCGAACGAACTTTTTACTATATGTAAACTTAATTCCACATGCTGTTTTCTCGGTAATTCAAATAAATGCGAAGATAGTGTAAAATTTACCACCATCTCCGCCGTTAAAGGAATTAAAATATTCAATAAGAATAGCTTTATAAATTGAATATGGACATTGATCAAAACTTATGGAAATTTCACATTGTTGGCAACCCTTCAGAGATAGTGATGTTTAACAGAATCAATCACTTTCAAAATTTATGCAGTCAATTTCGACATCTTAAGCAAATATATATTTATGTTGATTAAATTGACTGAAAGAAGTCTTTGGCTAGTATTTACGAGAACATTTTGAAAATATTGAAAAAAAAAAATTATATAATAAATTGTACAAATTAAATTGTTAGCGTCTATGCTATGTGACCACTTGAAAAACTGCATGAAAAACTACTCTAATCTACATATATGTACATATAAATGTAAAATAATTTAATTAAAAAAGTCTACTGTTATTCATTCATACGCAACGCGTTTGTGTATTATAATTGTAGTTCAATTCGATAATTTTATGTTTGTGTGAATGTGTTTGTGTAAAAATTTCGCTATAATATCATATTTTAGTTCACTATATAAACAGATTAATTGGTTTCAATTCAACTTTCATTAATCGATTTCGTCATATTCATACATAACTGATGATCCCGACGATCGCCCCAACCGCCGTTACCTTTACGCAATTTCGTTTTCTTTACTAAACTTGCGGCCGTTAAGGATAGGCTGCGCGGAAACAGCTGTTTGGACTTACGTGCTATACGTAAGACTTGTTGCACCTTGGCTATCACTTGATTGGACTCACAATTCTTCTTTTTGTGATGAACACCGCTGCAAAAAAAAAAAAATAAATAAATAAATAATATATAATACAAATTTCAAAATTCTATATGCAATTGAAGTTTATAAGCAGTAAAGAATTTTTCTGCACACACAAAACACAAGAATTGCTTACCACTCGCCAATATGGAAGACTCTTGGACCTTTAACGATCATTGCATGCAGCTTCTTCTGCAAACACTGTTGGGACACATAATGTAGCGACCAATCCCAATTATAATCATCGTAAAAACAGAAATGTTGCGCACACTTTCTTATATTGGACCAAGTGCTGCGATTAAATGCGAAACCCATATTATGTTTACTGCTAATCCAAGGCATCACTTCAACCTTTTCAAGAGTAGAAGAAAGAGGAAATTCATTTAAGCAAGATCATGTTTATGTTAAAAATAGAAATTAAGCAATTATTTGCATTATGTATGTATGTATTGTATATATTTATGTATCTAAATAGTAAAGGGATATGCAGCTAAAACTTTAAGAGATTTTGAAATTTTTAGCAATTTTATTAAAGCAAATTACAAAAATATATATGTATGTACAATTCTCACTTTCAATTGCAAGTTATTTAAAAATTATAGAGCAAAACAAGAGGAAGATGTGGCAAAAGTATACATATGATTGTAAAGAGGAGTAAAACATGCAGTTTTCAAATTTTTATCTTACTAAATAATCGTTTGTAAATCACGGTGAAGGTGTAAAAATTGGAAAAAATATATAAGTATGTACATGTATATTGTACATACGCTAGCAGACCCGGGCACACGTTGTCATGGCTTTCTATATTTGGTCCAATTTTTATACGAATTGATATAGGAAAGATTACTTTTATTATCTATTCTACGTATTTGTATATGTGTATGCCTTTTAACCCTCTACCTACAGCGTCCCACGGCTGTCACTGTAAATGCCTCGAAGTTAACCAAACGCCCCAGTCGGAACTTTGCTTATTCACATTCAAGTTGAAAAGCTTGTAACCCGAACATGCCTGTGCACGATCTATGCATACATCCAAATAATTCTAGTTTTTGCCTAACTGTCGGTCACTGGTCTATTTCAGGAAGACAAAAGTTACTTCTACCATTTTTCTTTGTTGTATAACAAAAATATTCAATTCATACAGTCAAATAGGTCTTTCGCTCACTGAACTTATAACGAAAAATATTTCATTTATTAGGTAGCGCCTTAAAAAAAATTTTCAAGTAAGAAAAACTATAAAAACGATGTTTTCGAATAAATCGTTTACGTTACTTAGTCAGCTTTCGGGAAGAATATGTAGTTCTTTTGCTAATTTAAACAAAAAACTGCCTCCGTACATATGTACAAATGTACCAAATTTCAAGTAAATCGAAGTAAATCGCACCCTAATGCACTCCGAAAAATAGTTTACGTCCAATTCTCAGACCTACTGTATATAAAAGCTGTTTTTTGACGTGTGATTTTCAATGAGGCAATAATTTTTTGGAGTTTCTGTTTTTTCCAGCTGGTTTGTAATTTCATAGTGAACAGATTTACTGCGGAATAACAATTGGAAAATGTGCAAATGTATTGCAAAAATAAACAAAACTGTGGCATTTGGGGTGATGATACTCCACAAGCCTTGAATCCTCAAAAAGTCACTGTTTGGTCCATATTTCTTCACATATTATGCCGGATATAAGTTTACAATCAATCATGATTAATGACTTTTTCGAGAAGGATGTTGATGTGGACGCCTTTTGCTTCCAACAAAACGGCGCTACATACCTTACGGTTAACGAAACAATCAATTTATTGAAGGAAACTTTTGGTGAGCGCATCCACTCGCGTCGTGGCCTCAAAGATCGTGCGATTTAACACCGCTGGCCTATTTTTATGGGGTTATGGGAAGTCTATTGGCTGAGTCATATAAAATAAATATTTTTATTTTGCCATAAATGTAACAAAATTTCGTAAAATATTCAATGTTAATAGTAATAACGTGTTTCTTCACTTTTAAGCAAGGAGTACGCGAAATTTACCTTTCTTCTATTACTCTCTTCTATCATATTTTTTTAATTTTTTCTCTATCAAATGAAATGCTAAAAGAATTCCGACAAATAAAATTAAATTTTTTTCCTTTTCCTAAAAGAAGTATCGAGCTCGATTCCGCAGTATCTAAAACACCAAAGAAACCATTATAAACATATCCTATGTACATATGTATGTATGTATTTATGAATAAGGGACAAATAAATAATAGTTGCAATGTAATAAACACGGGTGTACACTTTCTTTTGACGTTGACTGTACTTATGTATATGGTATATTTTCTCTCTGCTCTGTGAAGTACGCGGAGTAGTTAGTATATATGACAGTCGTGCTCGATCAGAATAGTACAACTAGTATTTCACTTGTATGAGGCTGACGCATAATCGGCGAATTGGCAGTTCGTAGGATATCGCTATGTTAAAAAGAGTAATTGCTAACATGCAAAAAATGGAAAATGAACTTGTTAGTATAGAAGTACTAACTAGTTGGATTCTAGTTAAGGAGAAATATTTTTCCCTGCAGGGTTGTTCAATTTGTCCGCCATTATGCTTTCTTAATGTTAGCTAACACTTTAAGAAGCTCTCTTGAAAATCAAAAACGAAAATTCTTATTGAAAAATGTAATTTTCGTTGAGCTAATTGTGGATTAATGAACTCAGAACCTCCATCGTCCGATACTGTTATTTGGTTGTTATTTTAGTGAAACTATCGAAATGGTCCTCAGCAGTTGTAGGAACCTAATGGGTGATTTTTTGATTATAAATCGGTACACTTTAGAAATAAAAAAAAAACACCGGAATTATAGGTTAAGGGTTTACCTAGGTTTACTTCTCTTATTTTGATAGGCTTTCATTGGGCATTAAAAGTTATGATCTTGGGCTTAGCAATAAATGAAATATATTGTTGCGAAAATGCGAGGCGAATGTCAGATAAAAGAGAGAAGCCGATAACTAGTACGTTCTAGAAACGATAAAACAAGAACCTTCCATAGCGAACAATTCGATGCTTCTACGCTTTCGTCTGCGAACAGCCGACTGCTATATAAAGGCGACACTCAGCTGCAAGTCAAGTTAGTCACAAAGTGAGCTCGTGGCGTTAACATCAGTTAAGTCGTAAAGTGAACGCGTTGGGAATTACATTTAAGTAGAGGAAATTGTGAAAGTTGATGCAAGTGATTGTAGCTAGTAAAGTGTCTTATAATTGAATTGTGAATTACGGAGTAAATAAAGGACATTAGATCAAATCTTTATTACGAAAGATACTGCAAATAAAGTTGGCGAGTTTTTATTTAACAATCCAGAGATCGTACCCGAAGGATCTAGAAAATAATCGAGGTTGATTTAGTAAAATCGTAACAATATTTATGAAATGTTTTAGCAGGACATTACGTGATTAAACTACTCACATTACATATACTATAAAACTCGTTAGCTTATTACAGTTAAACCTGATTAAGAGAGAACTGGGCAAGCAAAAAACCTATTTATGTGTGAGTATTTTTTAAGCGGGCTATTCGCACTTGCTCCTAGTCGGGCAATGAAACATCTATTGCATCATTATCATTTGGAGAGTCAGGCTCGCCATTTCTGGCACTCCATTTTCACTGTCAGGCAGTGTCATAAAAGAGTTTGCTCCGCTCTTGAAACGTTTTGTAAGTTGCCGCATCTTTCAGGAGAAATTTCGAAAAATACCCCTGCCAGCGAGCTTCTTAAGTTTTTCATGCTCACGTAGCTCAGTCTCTACAGTTTTTTGTCTGCACAAATGTTTTGCTTTTAGGCAGCCTGTCTTGCTTTCTACAATTGATAATATTGGATGAGTGCATAAGTTCGTGCCCGATTCCGCTGGATGCCATTCGAATCGTTTGAGAGTGGCGCTCGTGAAAGAAATATATACATATTATATATCGTTGGAAAGGTGACAGTCCCAACTGTAAATCAAGCATAAAATAACTTCATTTTGATTTGAGTTGCTTAGTGAAAAGACGCATGGAAGATGGACAACGAAAAAGATCATATGGGTCATATTATGTTATACGAATTCCGCAAAGGAAAAACAGTAGACGCTGCAACTAAAGATATTCGCGAAGTTTATTTGGACCGTACTCCAGCACTCCGCACAGTAAAGAAATGGTTTGCGAAATTTCGTTCTGGAGATTTTAACCTTTTTTGGATCGGCTCGTGACTGGTGATGAAAAATGGATCCTGTACAACAATGTTCAAAGCAAAAGAACATGGAAACAGGCTCACAAAGGGGCGCAACCGATGTCGAAAGGTGGATTGCATCCGATGAAGGTACTGCTGTGCATTTGGTGGGATATCCGAGGCGTGATCTATTTTGAGCTCTTGCCAGCTGGAGAAACGATCACTGCCAACAAGTATTGTCAGCAATTGGTCGAATTGAAGAAAGCAATTGATGAAAAACGTCCGATTTTGGCCAGTTGCAAAGGAGTTCTTTTCCATCATATCAAAGCCAGGCCACATGTTGCAAAACCGACCCTGGCCAAACTGAAGGAGATGAATTGGGAAATCATGCCACATCCCCTATATTCACCCGACATTGCACCTTCTGATTATCATTTGTTTCGATCGCTGCAGAACAATTTGAATGGGAAAAATTTAAAAATGTGGAAGACGTCAAAAACCACCTTGACACATTTTTCAACGAGAAACCGCGCGATTTCTATGAATCAGGCATCCGTAAATTGGTTGAACGCTGAAAGTGGATTGCCGAACATGATGGCTAATACATAATTGATTAATAAAAGCGCTTTCTTCAAAAAATTTCAATTTTAGTTTGCACTTGAAAACGGGCACGAACTTATGCACTCATCCAATATAATTTGAAAAAAAAGTTTAGTACATTTTTTAACTTTTTTTCTAACTTACAAGGTGCGTTCCAAAGCAAGCAGAACTTTTTGAATCTAGCGCCCTCTAGTGTCACCATCTATATGTCGACTAGTGCGTTACAATCTGCTATCCTTCATCGATTTCCAGTAATGACATGACATTTCATCTATTGGAAGTGAAGTTATTGCGTTTTAAGTGCCAGTAGTTTTTGTCATCGGCGCGAAAATGAGCTTCGAACAAAGAGCCAACATTAAATTTTATTTTAAAATTGGTAAAACTTTTACCGAAACGTTTTATTTGATGAAACAAGTTTATGGCGATGATTGCCTATCCCGTAGAGGGGTGCTCGAGTGGTTTCAACGTTTTCAAAGTGGTCATGAGGACATAAATGACGATGAACATGTGGGTCACCGAAAATTCCATCATAAAAAACAGCCGAAATCATCATTGAAATTGAAGGAAATTGAATTGAACTGACGACCAAAAAATGCTCAGAATTCAACATTCGAAGGACATCACTAAAGAGGCAAAAAAAAACCAAAAAACACATTTTAACAATCAACCACTCTCCTTACTCACCTAATATGGCACCATGCGACTTCTACCTTTTCGGATAAATGCATTTGCCGATGAAAGGAAAGCCTTATACAGACGTGGAGCTCATTCAAAAGGCTTGCACCGGCATACTGGCGGCCATACTGGGTAACGAGCTAAACTAAAACACTCTTTTGACATGCTTTTGAACCGTGCAAAAAGCTGTACTAAAGCAGAAGGAGACTATTTTGAATAAAATTAAGTGATTTTGCCGATAAAACCATTTTTTCTGTCTTTTTTTAAAGTCCTGTTTACTTTGGAATGCACCTTGTACATATTTATGCCTAAAACCACTGTAAGTAAGTCAGTCTTTTTTTGTATTTCTATAAGCTAGAATCTCGCATTAGTGAGAAACTTTTATGGGCGGTTCCCTTGAACTCTCTCTTAAACAGGTTTCTATATATAAATTACCCAAATAGAATATATCTAAAAATATAAATTATACTATTTGAAACGAGTTTAACGTTTACTCAGTCTAACCGGGCTAAGGAGTCAGACATTAATGAAATTAACAGTTTTATTATAGACCTAAGTGTCTAGCCGTAAGATAATTAGATTTAGTTGTCATAAAATACAAATTGGTTACTATATATACCTCACGGAATTTAGTTTGTGTTGGTGGTTTTGGCATACGTGTTAGTGACGTACGATAAACAACCTAAACAGTTAAAATATATATATATAATATTAACATTTATCGACACATAAATTTTTGGTTGAGATTAAATTAATAACATGTTAAAATACGGAAAACATTTAATGACAACACGCAGGTACACAACAACAAAGTGGATATGAAAATTAGAAAATTTCTATAATAATAACAAATATTAATAGAAAATAATAAAGCAATTGAAATCGTGTTTATTATATCGAATTCAGTGGCGAACTAATGTATACACAAAATATACGCACGCATATAATTACACAAAAAACCAAAAAAAAAAAAACATACAAATACACATAAAAGTTGGTATCATTAGTGATAACTTCAACGTGCAATGGGTGTATTGATGGGTTTGTGCTTCATATGACGGCAAATAGTAAATGAAACCTTCATATTTCATACAATTCAAGGCAATGATTTTCTTAGTTTAACTGTATAAATTAAATGTAAAAATAAGCGTTTTGCGCTTTTAGCTTTTAGGCTACATATGAATGAGTCAATGAGAAATGCTCTCTTGATACATATAATCTGAAGAGATTCAATATAATTTTCTTTTCTAATAAACGTAATGAGCCGGCTATAAGGAGGTATCGGATTCAGCATTTCTTGATACCTATAAAATACTTCGGCCTCTATTCATTATTATTCGAAAAAAAAACATTATATACCAGGTACCAGCGATTGCTCTAAATATACAAAAATTCTAAAAGGTAGTTTCATTCGAAATTTTTGACACCAAACGTGTTTGCCCAGAAATTTTTGATCTTGTCATTTTTAAAATATTCAACTTGGAAATTTTTTTTTAGTATTTTTGGGGTTATCTTCTAAGCAGATGCTATAACATTGAATTCACGTATTTGTTTCAAGCGGTAAGAGAAGAGTTTGGTAGATGCTTTTATTATAAATAAAATGGGAAGAGTTCTCAATTTTTACTTTTTTTTCGAAACTAAGACATTGGATTTCTCAAACAACTTTTCTGCCACTGCCATATCTCAGTGTTTTTCGACATCGATTTCTCGGAAATTTCTTCCTCAATTGCTCAGAAGAGCGGGTATCTCTAGGCATCATTAATCACCTAAATTTCATGGTTTAAGTATGTAGAAATGTAAAGGAATCTTCTTCACAGAATTAGCAAAGGTATCATAACGAGATCCTGTTAACCTAACTAACTGACTATAACTTTCAAAAGTGTTTGGAAATTTAATCGACTTTTAGCGAAATTATGTAACAAGCAATCATGAAAGGCATGCACTCGAGCTCACTGTAAGGGGTTGCAATACACAATATTGTACGTTTAGCATTTAAAAAATATGAAAATTTTACACTTATTTTTTATTTCAAAAGATTTTAAGAGAAGATGATAGCATGAAAGAGAAAAATTAAGAGCTTTATCTGCTCAGGAGATTCTTCAAAAAAAGCGAGGTTGTGCTCAAAATTTTAATAAATTAAATTTTTAAGCAAAATCGATTTTGGAACAATTTTGAAATACTTTTTCTTCAATTTCTCAGGAAAAATGTGTGAAGAAAATAAAAATTACGTGAAAACTGCTACGTCTGGCTGCACTTTCAAGAATTATGGGGTACAAATACTCGTAAATTCGCTTTAAATTTAACGTTTCCTTTTGATAACACGGCACCGCAGCGTTAAGTTAGTTAAGTTAATTTTTCTTGTTAACGAAACGAAATGAGATCGTTGCGCTAGTTTATCATCTCTGGTATAACCACACTTTTTTTGGAAAGGGTACGAGTATTTGGAAATTGATCCCATTGATATTTGACAACAAAAAATGTTTTAACCAAAGAGATAGGAAAGAGGGGCTGGTTCATTGATTTTAGCACATAATTCCGCAATAACCCATTATCACGTAGTTTGATTGGAATAGTTCCTTCCTTCCTATAACAGATAGGGTTTACTTCGAAGTTTTGTTCCACATAAAATTGTAAAAAAAAGGAAATCTTGTCATAAGATTGGAAAAAGGGTTGTGGTTTAGTTAATAATAAATAGTTAATAAACAAAGTATTTTTTAAAATACTTCTCATTACAATCTCTACAAATTATTTAAGGAATCATAAATCTGAAAATACTAAATACATATTAACAAAAAACAAAATTAAAATAAATGGAAAGTCGATGAATTTCTTCCAATTGCACTCCTTAACTCTCCCTGGCCTATTCTGTCGAGGTAACAAAATTTACTTAGGTATTAAATTTTACCATTCAGTAAATTTTGTTACTATTTCGTATTCCGACGTCAATGTCACCTTGTAAATTTTGTTACCAGCGAAATAAAAAGTAACAAAAAAATTTGAGAAAAAATGAAAACCAATATGGCCTGGAATTTATTGAAGATGAAGATAAAAGTGGAAAAGGGCGCATGCTAAGAAGTTTGCGAGGCATGTTTTGGAAAATTACGTTCTAATATTAATGATTTAATAAACACATAAATAAAAAACTTATTTATTTTGAAGTGCACTGTCTTCCATTTCTATGTGAATATTATTTTATAGCAACGGCGAATGTAATTTGACAAGGACGAAAATAGCAGTGCTGCCCAAGTTTTTTTTAAACATTGTAACCAGTTCAATTTCGGGTGTTAAAGAAAAGTAACAAAATTTACCTTACCGGTCACAGTGAGAAAAAGTGATGTGGCCTGTCAGTCTTTATTTTTTCTTTCTTTATTTTTCATAAAACAACATAAAAATTGATTTTTGAGAGACAAAAAAACTGAATGTGTATGCGATTTGAGGTGCATGGAAATAGTTTAAATAAATGAAATACGTTTTGCACTCCTTACTACATTTGAAAAATTAAATGACTAATGCTTCACAAATATCCTTGCGTTAAGTTGTGCAATCTAAATATAGAGTTCCTTTAAATATCCAAACGTAATTACTCCAACGACACATGTCTGATCAACTACAATCAATATACGTGTACGCGTGTAATATTTGAGCAGAACATTTCTTAATGCGAATAATGTTTTATTCAAGGAATGTGTCGAAATGAGTGACGTCAATCATCAAGTCGAATGCAGAGCCAATAATTATTAAAATTTAATGAAATTACCATAAGCGTAACAATACAAAGCAAGACAGTTGGAGTTGTAGTTTTTTCATTACAAGACACAAAAAAAGCTAATTACATACAATTGGTACCGTTACAAAAATAGCAATCTATTGAATATGTTTATGTATGTGCTATGTGTATATGTATGTGTGTATGTGTGTATGTCTGCACAAAATAAAAGGTAGCAATGCAGCGAGAAATATGAATGAATGTTTACAACGAGAATGAGATAGTAAAATCACATAATACACTTGCATATACATATATACATATACATACGTACACCCACACAAATAGCAAATCAAAAATCAAGCTAGTCGAGTATCGATTAATGAATAATGGTAACTAATTTCGTTATGAGCACAATGAGAATATATACATATGTAGTATATGTATGTAACAATAGAAAGCAATTAGCGGGGTTATATGATTACATAGGCAGGCAGGTTATTTGATATCTACATATGTTCTTGTTTTTATTTTTTTTATTAGCCCAACTACCTTCTGATAGATTGAATATAGTGATGGTAGCACGTGATAACTCCACGATTGCTGTGCGGCGCTTTTATCTGTTGTGGTTGTGGTGGAAGTGGTTATGGTATTGTGGTTATTAATGGTGTGTGCGTTGTTGTTGTTGTTGTTGTTGTTGTTGTTGACATTGGTGTTTGTATCACCAACATAGACTTTATCTTTATTTTCATTATCATTATTTTTATATATATTTTCATTAAAATACTTTTTATTAAAACTATTCGCTGCTGATGTGGACGATGACGATGACGATGCGTGCGATGACATTTGCAGTGAATTTCTATTTTTATTGCGATTATATCCTAATAAATTGCTGGAAGTGAGCAACGAGGAAGCATATTGGCTGCTAAGGGATTTTTTATTAGTCTGTCGCCATAAAAAACCAAAAACCAAAAACCAAAAACAAAAAAGAAAATGAAAAAAAAAACGCAAACCACAAATTAAACGATTCAATAAAAAGTACGTAAACAAATAAATTGGAACATTTATTTATTCATTTTTTTTTTGTAGCGGAGTGATGTGTAGGAAATTCGAATGAAAATTAAAGGAATTCATAACAATTATAATAATTGTAGTAAAAAAAGAGAGAAAGAGAGAGAAATAGGTTAATGAGCACAAAAGCAGTTTTAAGCATTAATTTGTATATGCCTTATACATAGTATGTATGTATTTGTCCTTTCCCATTTTCTTGATCTCATAATAACTGAATTATTTATTAGATATTTTTTCTCTTTAAGCACCCTCACATATAGATAATTAAACTTAAGAAATTTAAGTAAATTTGTGAAATCAGAAAATTGCCTGCAAATTTCTTATATTAATTGGAGAACTTACTTTGCTATTGTATGTATAGTAGTTGAATGTTTTCAAATATGTGCCCAGCGAGAGTATATCGCATTGCGGACATAGACTGCCAGTTGAAGATTGCATCATTTCCAGAAGATATAGAAAATCTTCTGCCACATAATGATCTTCCTCTAGGAACAATACAAGACCTGTAAATAATTGCAGAATAAGCGTAAATAAATGATTTTAAATAAAATAGCAATTTATTGTATAACTCACCAGTATGATAACGGGTCACATCTAATTGATCGAATACACGATTCGCCTTCCACCACCAATGGTGTTTGGTCTGTGTGAATTTCGCCTCCCTATAATGCCCATACAGATCGGGATATAGCGCATTGTTACATTTACGCGCTATAGCTCTGTTAATGAAATTTGTAATAAAATTACTGAGAAAATCGCTGAGATATAAAAATATGTTTATTTAATGATATTTTCAAACTCACTGATCCTTTTTCATATCACGTGGACAATCATTGGGATCTACGCCGGGAAACTCATTTGGATGTGTTTGTATAGAGTATGGATAGAATATCTGTTGTTGTAGAAAAGAGAAAAGTTAGTTAAGTTCACTTACATAAATAATTTAAGAACTTATTTATTTAAGGTTGTTTATATTTTGCTTTTACATTTTTTGGCGGTTTAAATATTTTGTTAAAAAGTATTTATTTATGGGGAGTACAAAGTAATTTGGTCCATTTTTTTTGGTTAAAAAAAGTGTACAAAATATATTCAAATTATTATCCGTCCGAAACCGGCACATCCCCCTCTCCCTCTGCTCCAACCCCGTCGAAACAGCACGTTTCCTGGACCTCCCTTCAGATGAACTCGGCAACTTAGATTAATTAAACCTGTCGCTAAGCAGGCTGGTAGTCGAGTAGTTAGTATTGCGAACTGACTTTCGGAAGGCTCGGGTTCAAATTCTGGTACTACCAGCATCGAAAAAGTTATTGAAAATTAATTTAAATTAATATTAAACTTTTTAATCCCATCGGCAGGGAATGTCCACCCCTCCGAGTGTATTTCGGATATGAAATAAATGCTCCTCATAAAAAAAAATCCATCAGCCGTTCGGAGACGGCTTAGTATAAGTTGTAGGTCCCTCCATTTGTTGGGAAAACATCAAGACGCAAAACCACAAATTACAAAAATTAATTTTCTATATTTTTTTGGATGTTGATCGGACCAGGACGCGAACGCTGGCCTTGCGAATGCCAGTACGTAATGCTAAATACCCTGCCATTGCGTCCGCCACCATAACATCTTTACGAAATTAGTTCTCTTTGTCTTCGAGCCAATCATTGAGCCTTTCTTCGATTTCTTCGAAAGATCTGAACCGGTAACCTCCAAATCGTTTCGTATACCTTCAAAACGCTAGTAGTCAGAAGGAGCATTGTGGATGGAGTAAGATCTCCCAGTTCAGCATTTCCAGGTAGTTTTCAGTCGGTACAGCGACGTGGTGCCAAGTATTACCATATTGAAAAATAACCTTGTTAAGCCTTTCGGTCACAGCTCAATTAATTGTAGTCGATAACGCAGCAGCTAATAGTCCTGCACACTCGTCTGGTCACACCAGAACCTCTTTGTCTTTGTCGCTTATATTACCACTTTTGAAACGATGAAGCCACTCTCTGGATGATCGATTCAACATTAATAACGACAAGCTTTGGATGAGCTACAGCTACACTTTTCTTCTAATTAAAAGAGAAAATCAAAACTTCTCGCGAATGCTGCCTCTTTAACACAAAACTGGACATTTTCGTAGAGGGCAAAAAACAATGTTGCTGTCAGAAACATACACTAAAACATACTATTATTTTTTGACGGTTGTGAAACCTTTACAGAAAAATAGACAGTTGCTTCCAAGATCGGTCGCAACTTGCCAGTGGAGCCATATTTTGAGAACGGACCGCATTTATTTGTATTCCCAATAATATTTTTTTTTTTGAACAATATCTACTAAATACTGAATGCCTAATTTTTTTTTAGCAATATTATAATATATATACATATATCTTTTAATAAATACCTGTATCACTTTACAAAAATCGATTGTTTGCACCAAATCATTGATGTCATCATCGTAATAGTCATGCGAGAATATTAATAAAGTCTTGGAAATATCCTTAGCCTGCGCTAGACTAACGATTAAATGGCGTAGATAAGTTATACGTGTATGCACCTGAATGAGAAAAAAGCAAATGTAATAAATCTACAAGCAAGTAATAATTATTAATAAATTTGTATTTCTGTATAATCTCAATTGTCTACAAATGCAAAACGAAACCGTTGCCGGTAAACACTTCTAACACTTAGTTGCGGCATTACTTCATAATGAAAATCGACACTGTAGACATAAACACGCTCCCTTTTGATTTGCTATTATTTGTTATTGTTTTATTGTGTGCTTTTTGTTTCTTTTCTCTTCTCAGATGCACTATTAGCTTTTATAATTACCTAACATCTATCTTTTAGATGTTTTTTATGTTTACATTAAGACCAGAAAGTTTCCGGAAATTGTCATTTCAATTGCCTGCGCTAAATATATTTTTCAGCAATTTTTATTTTTGTTAAGTTGACAGCACTGTCCTTAATTACTTTGCCAAAAATAAGCGCGATCTGTTAACCAGTTTTTTTGCAGCAGTTGTTGAAATCAGTCGACCTCAGTTGCCTTTGCGAATTTCATTTTACGGCATTAATCGAGTCAAAACAGGCTCCACTTGAAAAAAAAATCGCATGGGGTCAAATCCGGTGAAAACGGTGGTTTATCGAAGGTATTGAATGAGTTTTAAGTCTTGAAATCATTAACAATTACACCTCGGTGCGATGCCGCATTATCGTCATGAAAGTTTCCGGCAATTGTTGGCCCACAATTCCGGCCGTTTACGACGGATGCTTTTGCGCAAACGCCTCAAAACGCTCAAATAATACTCTGTATTAACCGTCTGTTCCGTTGGAACGAATTCGTGATGAAAAAACCGCGAATATCGCAAAAAAACAATTTCCGGAAACTTTCTGGTCTTAATGTAATTTGTATGAATGTGAGAAGCGGCTTGCTACTCTAGTAGAGTATTGACGGTATTTAAATAATGTTGTATTACATATTTGTGACGGAAAATAGATAAAAAATTCACTACTGGATAATTGTTTAAGTGACTAAGTGCGCTGTTACACTAGCCATATAGATAACAGTATTTACTGTGAACCAAATGGGAGTGTATTTATGGCAGGAAAATATTAGGCACTAAAGGTGATGCATAAAAGACCAAACTTTAAGCTGCCTTTTAACTGGTGCCATTATATAATAGGTTAACTTCGAAAATGCCAAAAACGAGATGCAAGCTCGGAAGAAATTTTGTGAAGTTTATGGCCAGGACCATTGATTAAAATGCCGTCAAGAGTCGTAAATAAAGTTGAGACCATGCAACGAGCAGGCGTCGCGAGATTAAGCTTTCACCAAAAGTTTTCTTCAATTAGTTGATTGTTTGGTTGGCCGTCTGACATGTAGCGCCATCTTCTTAGAATCAAAAGTCGTTCGGGCACGAAAAAGGTCATTCATTTTTACTCTAATTCGTTCCCCATTAACATTATGCCCGGCTTCATTTATGAAGAAATGTGAACCAATAATTTCCTCTGCTGTTTGGAAGAGCCAGGAGTCACTTGGTGCTAAGTCCGGGGAATACGGTGGTTGAAGAACTATATTCGTGGAATTTTTTGGGAAATGGTAACGAAGAATGGGTGCGACGGTTGGCCCATAATTCTGTTCTTTTTTTCGAATTGCTTCACGCAAACGACGCATAACGCTTAAATAATATTCCTTATGTACCGTTTGACCGGGCGGAAGGAATTCAAAGAAAAAAATCGAAGAAAACATTCAACATGACCTTGATTTTTGAGCGACTTTGACGTGATTTTATCGGTCTTGCCTCACCTTGAGCACGACATTCGCTTGATTGGTGGGCGGTTTCAGGGCCGTAGGCATAGATCCACGACTCATCTCCTGTAATCATGCATTTCAGCTTGTCCTGGTAGTCAGAAAGCATGGTTTCACACACATCAACGCGACGACTTTTTATCATGAAATTGAGTGTTTTTGGCACCAATCGAGATATGGTATTTCGTAGGCCCAATAAGTTTTTTAAAATCGTTTTTACAGATTCTTCTGATATTCCAAGCATATCAGTAAGGTCTCTAACACCCAAGAGACGATTTTTGAGCACTAATTCCTTAATTTTATTGACGTGTTGCACATCAGTTGACGTTGATGGTCGTCCCGAGCGCTCGAAGGCATCAACACGTTTCTCACCCTCTTTGAAGTGTTTGTACCACTTAAAACGTTCTTCTGTGACATAGTTGAGTCCCAAAAAGGTTTTGTGTAGCATCCTCAACATTTCAGTAGCCAAAAATTCGTTCCGCAAACAACATTTGATCGCACTTCTTTGCTCAATTAAATCAGACATTATGAAAATCGCCGAAGGCACTTTTAGTCCTTTACTAAACACAAGCGTAACTAAAATACCAATGATGACATTGACATGAATTTTGGCGTAGATGCCAATAACAGTGCTACCAACATTAATACACAAATTAACCTGACATCTAATTAAAAATTCACCATAATTTTGGCCTACAGTGGTGCATGATGAAATCTTCATTATGAAATGGCAAACCTAACTTAGTATAAATCAAGTAACGGCTGTTAAAAAGGCCAACTACGAAAAAAAGTATTATTAAATAGCACGCCTGCACTTAATCTTACATGGAAATTTACATAAAATAATTATCAAAACTCAAAATATTAAATATTAAATATTCTACTTCTTCTTACCTGTACTACGATTATCACAGAATCATTTTGCAAAGGACCATAAGTGTCCTCATTTAAAACTATTTGCAGTTCATTGTATTTAGCGATTTGTTGTTTTATCTCCGAAATATTTGGCGGATGATAGTAATCCGTATAGCTCGAGGAATTATATCTGCCACTAGTGGTACTATTCTGCTGCACTGTGGCGGCGAAAATCCAAAAAATGAATGTCGAATTAAGAAAATAAATAAAATTAGTAACAAAGCCTTTTGTAACTTACTGTGCGCAGCTGCTGTTTGGTTTCTAGATTTTGGTGTTAGAAACTTATGCAGCACCGATGGCACCATAGAGAGCATCGCATCGATTGAATCATTAGTTGGTTCATTCAGCATCGACATTTCACGAGAATCGGCTGTTGAGTGAAAATAGTACATAAAAACTAAATTGAATTAAAATATATAAATTAAGTGCTACTAATAAAGGGTTATCCATTTAGCGGGCGGGTTCAAAGATAAATGTGAATAAACTTCATTTAAACTAATCTTTTTAATAAAATTCCCTTTTTATTATAAAGTTTGAAAGCATTATATATGAAACACTACATCATTCAAATGAATGCCTCGCGAATTTTTACAAACGTCAATCCGTTTGAAGAAATTTTCGACCGCTTTTTGGCGCATATTGGGTTGTATCTCAGCAATAGCTTGACAAAGATTGGGTTTCAAGTCCTTAAGCCCCACAAAAAAATATCCAACGGTGTCAAATCGCACATCTCGGTAGCCAATTTACGTCGCCATGATGAGAGAAAACACGTCCGGGAAATGTCTCTCGCAATAAATTCTTAAACGCTCGTGTTATGTGGCATATTTTCCACGTCGTGCTAAAGCTACATATTGTCCACGTCGTGTTTTTCAATTGCAGGCCAGAAAAGCTCGCTATCATACGACTAAAACATTCCGGATTGGTAGTGACAGTCTCACCGTTGTCGTTTTCAAAAAAGTAAGGTACAATCACACCTCTGCACCAAATAGTGTACCAGACAGTAAGCAGCTCGTTTTGGGGTTTAATAGTCACTCTTTTCAATTATTTGAGAATTCTCGAAGCTCCAAAGGCGACAATTTTGCTTAGTTATGTATCCGCCGAGTGAGAAATGTGACTCGTCGCTGAACAAAAATTTGTTTGAAAAATCGCCGTTTGCCGCTTGTTGCTCAAGCATCCAAACGACGTTCATATGTACGGCATTGTGAAGAGTCAACTGGCTTTGTTTGTTGTGTGTGAGCTGGACTTTGTATGGTTGTAGGTGTGAGTCCATGATGTGCTGTAAAAAGTTTCAGCTCTTGAGAACCTCGAGGAATAGACATGTTTGGGTCTTCAATTTAACTCACAGTAGCGAGAAGCAAAACGATAATGTACAGTCCTTGCAATATCTGTAAGCGGTCTAGACTCTTCAAATTTCTTCAAAAATTCTTCCAATTGCTTGAATAGTTGGACGATTAAGTGCAACATAACCTCTGTTTAAAGCTCGAAATATGGCCACGTTTGAATCACCATTTATGTTGTAGGCTTTAACAATTTGAACGCGTTATGTGGTTATTGAACAATCTATTTTCATGAATGCATAATCTTTAACTCAAAAAAAAAACATGTTTGATTTGACAGTTAAGTTTGACAGATGTCTAAATACAGCCCTCTACTTTTGAAAGCACTAAATGCACGACCCTTTATATTTAGTAATATTTTAGTTAAAAATGTTGTATGGAAAATTGTTTAATTTATCAAATTTTTTTTCTTTAAAAATAAAGTACTTACTGAAACTGAAAACATTTAGCTGCATTAGTATAAATACGATCAGCGCTGCACACAAAACTACACGCATATAATATGTATTCCTCTTGCGATGCATTAATCCCGTGTTAGGCAACGGTAAGGGTATTTTGCGAACTGAAGATTTGATTGAAAGGGAAATAGAGCAAAAAAAAAAAAAACGAAATAGAAAATCCATTACAAATTTATTTATTCAGCAATCAAGGCTAAAAGACAAGTATTCAAGTAGTGCAGAGTAGTTTGAAATAAATCAATTAAGCCAAGCACTCTTGCACTTACCCCTCATTTTTGATTGCGCAGCAGTGGTCTTGGTAATTGCTGCTGCTATCGGCTGCGTTTAATTGCAATTAAATCAATCAATTCGTAGTTTGCTTAGCAATCAGAATACGTCTCATGTCTGCAAAAGAGAAGAAGAATTACAAAGTTAAATCCTTTTCTGGAAAAAATAGAAAACATGGAAAAAATAAAATAAACTCAAGAAATATTGTAATTGTCCTGATATTATATGCATACGAGTATACAAATGGTCCTTATTGTCTTTTTTCAGTGTCGCTGGATGTATGATTGCCTTGAAACATTCGACGGTTTAAAGAGTTCTGATACTTTGATCCACGTATGCAAGTGACACATTGACTAGAAGGGCTAGAAGTTATAACATTGAACACGTAAAGCATATGGAAATGTAGACACGACCGGTGCTGTTCCAAGGGTGAACTTTTTGTGAGGCCGTAAAAATTTAGTAAAATGAATCTATTAAAGTACTAGGTAGTTAGGTAGCTTGGGTATCTGCCAGGTGGCTACTGAGTATCTGAATAACCCGCACCCATTAGTCAAACCTATGTGTGAGTTATTGCAAAGCCGAGCAATCCTTGTATCCTTTTCTTGCTGCAACTTCTGTAGAAGTCGTTAAATAGTACGCCTAGCCACACTGGGTGTCTGTTCAATAGCACATGACCCGTAAGAAGACATATAACTATAGATATCATATTGTTTTAGCACAATAAAATCACGTGATCTTCTTTTAGCCCACGCTGTACACATTATCCTGATAACAATAGACACATTAAGACTTCTACATCTACAGCTAGCAGCTTTGATGAATAGTTATACATTATAAATGGAGAGCGACATGCCCTTACTCTTCGAAGATTGTGAAAGGGAAGTGCCCTATCTTTCAAGTTCGCCCGTCATCTTATTAGCCGGTATGTTACTGTGTCCAGGCACCCAAACCAGGCTTAAAAAAGAACTGCTAAGTGATATTATTCCTTTTTCAAAATGAATTTAAAAAAAGATTTAATCTGTCTACTATGCGCCAAAATCAGTTGACGCAATTAAATCCGCCCCTGTAATTAATGTACACACATAGGCGGCCCGCATTGTCATCACAGGTGCAACAATATGTATTTATGCGGATAATTCTATTTTTAGCAATCAAAACCAAGTATAATGAGAAGCGAGTGGAAGTGGAGATATTTATATTTACTCATTTAACTGCTTGATTGTGAGAATTATGATTTTTGAAAATACAAATCTGAGTTATCAGTTGCTTGTTGGCTATATGTTATCGATATTTCATCTCTTGAAGTGTGAGCGGTAAACCAAATTTCACATACTTCATGTTCAAGTGAATAGAATCATAAATACGAGCTTCTCGTAAAATTCGGTCCTTGGCCCAGTTGATCCACTGTTCTGCGATCTCGATGCTATGACTGTCAACCGTGACTCCCTTGCCAAGACGGGTGCGCTGACATTTTGTTTTAGTCTTGTCTTCGTTCACTACTAGACCTTCTTTCTGGAGAAAATAGTACTAACTGTGCGGTTATTAAGGCCTATGATATCAACGCCATCGGAATACAACAGCAATTGTACACTCTTCTAAAAGGTAGTAGCTTGTCCATTTAGCTCTGCAACTCGTATTATTTTCTACACCATCAATTTGAAGGAATCACATGATAATGAGTTACCCTGTCTGAAGTCTCGTTTGCTACCGAACGCTTTTGAAAGGTTCTTCCCAATTCTAACTGCACTTCAGGTGTTGTCTAGCTTCAGCTACACAGCCATATATATGACTTTCCCAGAGAAAGTGGCGTAGAGGCAGCTCTCTGTCCTGTCGAAGGGAGATTTAAAATGGTGATGTGTATGAAATTTTTTTAACATGTATTTTCCAAGATTTAGGGCACGATAAAAATCTGGTAGGTTTACCAGATCTAATGTCACACTGATAAGGTCTAATCTGTATGGTGGGGTGGGCTTTAGTCTTTCGCACAATACACTCTATAGGGCCCTATATGGTAATTCATGTAGCACGTAGGTTCTCCTTTTTTCTATCCCATGCTTTCGTCCGACCATATTCTACAGGGAAGCTGATGCATGCATCTTTTCACCCCTTCACTGCGATGTTTGAATAGTTCGGTCGGTAAGCCATTTGCTCAAGCTGATTTATTGTTCTTTAAATGGGAAATCGCTATTTGAACCTCCGCATGGTTGGGTAATGGAACGTCTTACCAGCGAATGGGGTTTCGGGTTCACCATCTCCAGACGAGCTGGAGAAGTATACCCTAAGCCAAGCATGCGCTAGTCATGGATCAACAGGTTAACATCTTGGTTTTCACATGAGTATTCTTCGGTCTTGAAACCTTCTGTTTGTATTCGCAGCTTCTTTTCGACACTTCTTCTCATAGCAGCTCTTTTTCTGGCCAAAATCAATTTCACCGTAGCGGCGGGTACGTAGTGAGTTTGAGAAGCCGTTTCACAATTTTCTTATATCTACCAGGAAACCGAAATTTTCTCACAGAAAAAAAAAACGTTTATTGTAATGATATTATACATAGTAACTTATTCAAAGTATTGTCCGTCGTTATATATATACTCTTTCCCATTTTTCAGGCAATTTGTGGATTCCGCGCCACCGCGCGAGGCAAACCAGTCATCAAGTTATTTTCGTACATCTTCGTAAGTGCGTGTACCATCTTTGCAAACAAGCAGTAATCGGATGGGGCAAGGGCCGATGAGTAAGTCACGTGTTGAAGAATCTCCCAACGGAACAACTTTATCATTTTCTGGACCTGTTTTGCTTTGTGCGCTGGTGCATTTTCTGGTAGCAAAATCACCTTATGGTGTCTTTGTTAGTATTCTGGTGCTTTTGTCACTCAAAACTCGATCCAAATCAGTCATTTGATTTCGGTGGCGTTGAGTATTGACAGTTTTCCCAGGTTTCAGCAGCTCGTAAAAGAACAAAACCAAAAAGTAGCGCTGCCCGCAATTTGTTGGCATAAAACTCGAAATGTTTATCTCTAATAAACTAATACTATTGAATGAAACTCGTTCTATTATGAGTTGGAAATCTTTGTCGGATATCAATACAATAATAAGACACCGCTGACGTGATGTGTCGGTACCTGCATCGACATCTAGCGCAACCTATAAGCAAATTCCGGTTTCATACTTACACACCTGGTAGTTACTGTTGAGTGCTCTCAGAATGTAAGTGTGCAAGTCGAGCAGAAAACCATACGGCTATAATTTGTAATTGCAGCATTTCGATATCGAGTTTTCCTTCTGTTTGTTGACGGATGCATGATACATAGAGGTGGATGCTCTTCCCCGTTGCGACATAATAGTGATGCGAGTCGATGTTATGTCCTCGGAGTGTACGAACGTCAAGAACACTGGCGACATGGCTTCCGTCACAACGTGATGGATTGTTTGCGTGGTTTTCGTATAGTCTACATCCATGTAGCTTGATGAATTATCTTGTACGGAAAACTGTTAACATATTTCGGGCCCCGGCAAAGTCGATCAGCCTCTGTCAGTTGGTTATGTTTCGTCATGGAGAAGGAATTTTCCGACAGAAGATACCTTCGTAGCCCAAACGGGCGTTGAAGTCTTTGCATTTAAATTAATGTTAATATTAGAAGCATGACTTCTTTTTCCATATTTAAATATTATTTGAGGTAAATATGTACACATGTCTGTGCATAATTCAAGTTGATCTAAAATTGTGACGCTTTTATCCTCTTGCTGTCTCTTAACTTCTATTTATTATCCTACATTTATATTTAGTAAATGAAATATATTTTTAATGTCTTTGGATTACAAGTGGACCCCTCTTTACAAGTACATGTAAGTATGTAGATATGTAATGCATATTTACGAGTTATAATAAAACCGCACTTAAAGGTAAATTATATTTATCGCTCTATTTTGCTGTGAACGTTAATGAAATTGTCACGAATAAAGTGTTCTACTTTGCCAAGTAAGCGTTTTTATATGCATTACGTGGATCTGTATATATCGTACACATACCTATACCTATTACAATATATTTGAAAGAAAATATCTGAGAAGATATAAATACGGGTATGCTAATGACTTTCAAATGGCTACCGTTTATTTATATTATATAATATAATATTCATAAAAAATATTCATTAGAAAATGCCCTCGTGCATTTTTTAGGGATGTAGATAACAGATATTGTGTATTTATTTTTAAGCCATATATATATATATATATATATATATATATATTTGCATTTAATGATTACTGTATATTTATATCTCGAAAGAAATTACGGAAAGCTCACCTTCGGTTAGTGGTGAGCAAATAGAAAAATGGCCACATTTACTTGAAGATACCCTGCAGGGAAAAATACTACTTGTGAAGTAGAATCCAGCTAGTTTGCATTTTAACACTAACTAATTCATATTCCAACTATTTTCCATGCAAGCAAGTGGTATTTTTAACACGTCGAGAACCTACGAGCTGTCAGACTCTGCATCAGTTTCCAACTAGTTAAATACTAATTCGTTTAGACACGTTGAATTTCTACTTCATCACAAAATGTAATTCGTTTGGACACGTTGAATTTCTACTTCATCACAAAAAAGTATTAAAGAAAAAAATGAGTTTGCCTGCAGTAAGACTCGAACCGTGACCCACATGCACTAAAGTAATAACCTTTAACCACTAGGCATTCGTGATTGTGATGGATGGTGATCGCGATGGTCTTTATTTTGGGCACTTCAACAGATCGTACCTGAGAATCGAACTCAGTCTACGACTGTTAGATATATTAACTACACACAGTGGTGGAAATTATTTCTCCCGTTACTAGTGGACCGGTAAACAAATAACTAACTGGTTATTTTCATCTTCAAAATACTAGTATTTAACTAGAATTTTTGCATACTAGTCTACCCTCTCTTTGCAGGGTATTTACATATATACCTATAGATATATCCATATACATAACAAATATACGAAAAGTATAATTTTATCTATTTGGCATTACTCATACATGCTTTTAGGTATAAACACATATGTACACGTATGTATGAGTATATACGTATTAATTATATGAAATAAGTACTTGTGACTACTTTTATTTGCACATTT